TAAATTGTGGTGTTAGAGAAGATTATTGACTATTTCGTCCAGTAAACAAGTCTGTTTTGAGGAAGTGTAGCCAGGGTGTTCCAGAGGCAAGGATGGTGAAACCTGATCTTACATACTTTGGGCATTTTGTCAGGAGGGGCCAGTCCTTGGAGGTGGAGGGCTGGGGGTGGATGTATAACATATGGGAAAAGTGGTGGGTCAGAAAAAAAAAGACCCTCCACAAGATGAATTGGCACAGTGACTTGTGACAACGGGCTTGAGAATATCGGAGATTGTGAGGAGCTTTAGCAGGGGACTAGGTCCAGATGTTCTTAGGGTTACTGTGAATCATAATTGACTAGATAATACCTAACAACAACAGCGGTAGATACCTGTTTTTCCTTTTCCGCAGTAATCATCTTCTGGCTTCACTGGTTTTGCTGTTTTTCTGTTCTGGTAGCTTTGAGCTTAGTTTTTCCTTTTTCCCCCCCAGTCTTTAATGGGGTTGTTGATTTGGTTCTTGATTATGGAGAAAGGGTATAATCCTAATTTTATTAAATCATGCATTGTTCTCTTTGGACAGCTGCTTCTTGGTCTATGTATAGCTTTCACATAAGTACAATTAAGTCATTTTTCTCAGTATTGTCCATAATATGAAACCATAGATTCCACTAATTCTGATTATTCCTGGTTTTGCTCTGAGGGGTATGAGTTTGCCGCTACTTACTCTCTTCCATCTTGCCCCAATTTTAGAAAAAATTTTTTTTTAAAAAGCCCAACAGAAGTAGGGAGCTCTGGTGGCCTAGTGGCAAGAAGCTGTACTGCAATTCCAGAGGCATGCGGTTCAAATCCACCAGATGCTCTGCTGGAGAAGGAGGGATAATTTCCTCCTATACCACTCAGGTCCGATTTGACAGTACACACACACACACACACACACATTTTAAAAAAAGAATATAAGTAGTAGAACATGCATCATTTTCAATATGAACAGTGACATAAATGTCAACAGCACAGCTTCTCTCAACCATTTTTTTCCTAAGTTATTCCTGCTCCATTCGCATATACCTTCCCCTTCTCTATGATTCACGGGAGAAAGATGAGCACTTTCCTTCCTCTGAAAACCTGCTAGAGGGTCAGCCATGGGTGGGTTCCGACTTGCTGATCCACACCAACAATATAGTATTTACAGAGAGGGTAGGTAGCCTGGATTTTTCCCTTTGCAATGGCTGATGGCTTTATATTGCCAACCTTTTCATTAACAGTCCAACACTTAACATTTGTGCCTCCAGTCTCTCGATTAATGGGCTAGCTGTCTTGGGGGGGGGTGTCACAAACGTTTTGTGTTCTCCTCACAGAATATTTAAAAAACATTTGCAATTATAGAACTATGCTTAGAAGAAAAAGTATAAGAGAATTAAGCTATAGAATATTTTTATAACTTTAGGATGGGAAAAGCTTCGGTAATCTTACATGAAAGCCAGAAACTAAATTAGAAAGGACTGATAGATTTTAGTTAAGAAATAAAAAAACCCCCAAGGTTTCTGCATGATTAAAGACAAAAATGTTAAAAGACAACACACTGAAAGGAAATATTTGTAATATGTGTATCAGACAATAGACTAATGCACACAAAGGATTAAAAGCAGCTCTAAGTTAGAAATGAATAGAGAAACTGAAGAGAAAAAATCAGAAAAAAGATATAAACTGGCAGTTTTTAGAAAAATAAATACAAAGGACCAGTGGACATTTGAAACATTGCTCAATTTCACTAATGATCAGAAAAATATGAATTAGACCAATAACCTGCCATTTTTCAATTAATAGAGTGGCAGTAATGAAAACCCAGGGGGATACAGAATTATTCTCAGTCTTTATTGTTGGGGGTGGAAATGGCTCCAGTTTTTTTGGTGTGTGTCTTGTTTTTGTTTGGGATGTTTTTATGCTCCAGTATTTTGGAGAACAAATCGGAAATATTTCTCAATATTTTAGTTGCACATAGGTTTGTTTATGTTTTTTTTTTCTTTTACTCAGTAGTGGCGCTTCTAGGAATCTATCTTTAACACTTTTCAGTGTGCCTTACGATTCATATACAAGCATGCTTCTTGAACATTATTTGTAAAAGTATTAAAATGGGAATACAGCATAATGTTAATCACATACTCACTCCCATTGTGTCTGGAACTGATTCATAAGGGGTTTTCAGAGGCTGTAAATTGCATGGGAAGAGATAGTCTGTTTTTCTCTTGAGGAACAGCTGGTGAATTCAAACCACTTACCTCAAGAAGTTGTCCAATGGGGCAAAGGTACACTGCATGCTTTAAAATTAGGAAGGAGTGGATCAGGGCTGTATCCTTTCTTCATACCTATTCAGTCTGTATGCTGAGCAAAGAATTTATGAGGCTGGACACTATGAAGAGGACTGAGGCATCAGGGTTGAACAAAGACTCATCAACATGCATTATGCAGATGATACAACCTTGCTTGCTGAAAGTGAGGAGGTCTTGAAATACTTGCTATGGAAGACCAGAGACTTTGGTATAGATTGCATCTTAACATCAAGAAAACAAAGATTCTCACCACAGGACCAACGGTCAACATTACGAAAGATGGAGAGAGAATTGCAGCTGTCAATGATTTCATCTTACTTCAACAGTCAATTCCTGTGGTACCACTAGTCAGGAAGTCAGGAGATGTATTTCACTGAGCAAGTCTGCTCTCAGACACCTCCCTAAAATGCTGACGAGCAATGATGGTAGTTTGAAGACTAAGGTGCATCTTAATCAGGACAGTGTCTTCTCAGTTACCTGTTACACATCAGAGAGCTAGACAATGAGTAAGGATGATAAAAGAATTGATGCCCTTGAGTTGTGCTGTTGGAGAAGAGTGCTGAAGATCACATGGACTGCCAAAAGAACAAACAGATAAGTGTTGGGGAAAAGTGCAGCCAGAGTGCTCCTTGGAGGCAAAGATGACAAAGCTTCATCTTTCATACTTTGGACATGTAGCTAGGCAAAGCCATTCTATGGAAAGGGACATCATGCTTGCAAAGATAGAGGGTCAGCAAAGGAGAGAAAGACCCCTAATGACATGAACTGATGTGGTAACTGCAGCAATGGGCTCTAGTGTGTCAGAGGTGATGAAGACGGCACGGGATAACACAGGGTTCCAATTGGTTGTTCATAGGGTCGCTATGAATTGTACTCAACTCGACAGCACCTGACAGTACCCACCTTTGTATTGGCAGTGCAAGTTGTTATCCACAAGTTTACCAGAACCATACTAGGAGAATGAGCAAATAAATACGGTATCATATCCTAGAATCAAATGAACTTCATAAAAAGAAGATGAGTCTACTGGGAATTTACCCTAAAGAAACCATAACCGCCACCCAAGCAGATATATGCACATCTACATTTTTTTGTGGCTTTGTTCACAGTAGCAAAGATCTGGAAACAACCCAAGGGCCCATCAGCAAACGAATGGATAAAGAAACTCTGATAATACTCACACAATGGAATATTATGCAGCATTGAAAACAAGGAACTCATAAAATATTATGCAAAGTGGATGACCTTGGAGGACATTATGCTGAGTGAAATATCTCAGTCACAAAAGGACAAATATTGCATAGGGCCACTGTTATAAAATGGGACTGACATCGGGGTTGAGGGAAGACAGAGAAGGAGGGGAGGAATGATGTATATTGCATTGAAACAGATGAGGGAGAGAACTGTTTAAAAGGGATATATGATTGGGTATTATTGTCATTACAGAAATCCGAATGAAGGCTGCACAGTGGAGTGGACTTGGGGGGAGGGATTGTGTAACAATGAAAGAGTTTTTCTTTTACTTTTCAAGGAGAAGAGTGAATTGGGGGGAGGGGATAGGATGAGAAAAGTGCAACAATGAATGACTGGAAACCCTATGTCTCTGTAAACTTTCATGAAAATTAATTAAAAAAAAAAGATGGATCTATCTGAACCTGTCTGATAAGGTTTCCATGGTACGTTGTTAGTGAAAAAAGTAGCCTAATAACAAAAGTGTTGGGATAAGCATCTGTGTAAGAAAGACAAGCCAAGAGTGTGTCAGTGTGCCTTACACCAGGGAGAGGAAAATGGGATAGGAGAGGATCAGAGTGAACTGGGCAGAGGGGAGACTGCTGTAGTGAGGAAATGGAAAATGCAAATTTTTCAAAAAATGTTTTGTTTTTCTTGTTAATGTCGATACACAGTAGAACATACACCAATTCAAGTTTCTGCAAGCACAGCTTAATGAATATTCTTCAGATTGCACCCACTCTCACCCTCCTTTTTTAAATTGTTCCGCCTCATTTAATGGAAACTCTTAAATTTCTGCTCCCTAAATTCCCCATCTAATCCTTCAAGTTATTTTTGTCAGTTTGACCCCACGTGGAATCATGTTAAAAAAGCACACTCTTCAAGGCAGATGGTTATTATTAGTTAATAAAATTATTGTAGAGTTTTAAGAAGAGTTTTTAGGGGATATTTGTGACTTAAGATTTAAAAATGTATTTTAAGGAAGTTGTTTCAGAGTTTCATTCAGTCTCTGTGGGTCCAGAAATTTTGCATTTCATGAGAATTTGAAATTCTGGTTAGTGTTTTCTCCTTTTTGAGTCGAATTCTTCTATAGAATCTTCCATTAAAATGTTCAGTAATAGTGGTGCTATGTGTTATCAAGTCAGAATTGACCCATAGCTGGTCCTCTAGTGGGTTTTCAGAGGCAGTAAATCACAGGGGAAGAGGCTGCCTGCCTTTCTTCTCTGGAGAAGCTGGTGGATTCGAACTGCCTGCCTTTTTCACTGCAGCTCCTTTTCACTAAGCCATGAGAGTAGCCAACCGCTACTGAGTTCTGCTCATTTCAGAGCAAAGAGAGAGAGTTGTTCTTAGAGTCAGTTGACTCTACGTTCCCTTTCCTGCTTGTCCTCCTGACTCTCTCCTTCTCCTGTGGCTTCAAAGAAGACAGAAATATTTTGAAAGTGATACAAAATGTTATCAGAGTTTTTGAATTCTAAAAAGCCCCAAAGGTTGAATGTTCACTAAACTGTCTTTCTTTTTCAGGTGCAGCCACAATGTACACAAGATATAAGATCGTGGAGAAGCAAAATGAGACTTGCTATTACAGCACGCCTGTGTTTAACTTGGTGTCCCTGGTGCTGGGATTGGTGGGCTGCATCGGGATGGGCATTGTAGCTAATTTTCAGGTATGATGGCAAGCATTTTAGATTATTGGGGTGATTGAGTATTTCTTTCTAGGGTGAGAGGCAGATATACAGGAAGTAAAAGAGCTCAGAAGTGATAAGGGAAATCATTGCTGGCTAAAGGACTTTCTTTTCATTTAATGCTTGGGGGGGGAAAAGACAAAACACAACCCCAAACCCAAAATTTAACAAGGGGAGCACTGGTGGCCTGGTGAGTAGGGAGTTGCACTGCCAACCCAAGGGACACAGTTCAAATCCACCAGCTGCTCCTCAGGAGAAATGTGGGCAGTCTCATCTGACTTACAGCTTTACTTATATCTTATTGGGAGCTCAGGTGGCCTAGTGGCTGCAGTCTTGAAGATACGCAGTTCGATACCACCAGCTGCTCAGCGGGAGAAGCATGGGCAGTCTCCTTCCGTGGGATTAACTGCCTCTGAAAACCCACTGGAGGGTCAGCTGTGGGTCAGTTCTGACTCTATGGTACACAGAAACAACGGTGTCTTATTAAAATTGTTGATAAGTTTATAAATATTGGAAAACCAGTCCTGCCTGGCACGTTGGAGAGATGAGGGAGTGATGTTTTCAGTCGTGAGTAAGATTGAGTGTGCTCCGTGATCCAGTCTCTCCCGTGCCCTGGGATTTTGTCTGTGTGATTTGACATGTTGAGAGAGCTGCCCCTGTCATGACTTTGCTGAGCACGGAAATAGATGTGTCCGTCTGTGAGTCTCAGGTTGCCTGAGAACATGTTGAGAGTATGTGGAATCACATGTGGGTGCAAACGTGTGTGTTGTATGAGAGCGTGTGTTAGCATGCGTATCAGAGTGTGGCAGAGCGTGTCGGGATGTTAGAGGTGTGCTGGTGCCTCGTATGTTGTGTGCATTAGCGTCTGTGTGAGTACGTATGTAGAGATTCTTCTGTGTGAGCCGCTGGTACCTAGTTTGGAGAACAGCGGTCTGCTCTCTGCCTTCTGCAGGTGAGTGTGTGGGGCTGAGAGGACCTGCTGAAAGGCACTCAGTGAATGAGCTGCAGAGTCCCACTGGGCTCCACTTGGGGGAGCTGACTTGTGTGACCTTCCCTGTGGAGATGCTCCGTATCCTCTTACTGAGTCATGTGTTTGGGGGAGGGAAAATCCCTCATCATTCGACTTTCTGAGTTCCTCCTGTTCATCTCTGGGTTTTTATCAGGAAGCCATGCCACCTATTTGTCTCTGGAGACAGTGCTTTAAATTTAAAAGCTGTTTAATCCCTGTATTTCAAATGGTGCCCCTGTGGCCTAGTCTCTTGGGAGTTGCACTTCTGACCCAAAGCCTGCACAACTCTGGTGGTTCAAATCCACCAGCAGCTCTGAGAGAAAGTTACAATCTCTTCCCTCAGAAACCTGGTGGAGCACCATCTAGGAGCCAGTCCTGACTCAATCCAGTGGCAAATAGTTTGAGGGATTTATTTATTTTTATTTTTTTTTTGGTATTTCAAACTAGTACGAATTATTCTCATACCTGCCTCAGAGGACTGTTGACAGAGTCAGGGAGGTTAGGTGAAGGACTCACACTCTGTGCTTGAAGCCAGCCATCACGGACAGCTCCTCATGAGCAGCTAAAGTGACTGCAGGCCTTTCTGCCCACTTCTGTTGTCTATAGGAATCCTTGTGTGGTGGACACATTTAACTATCCAGGCTGCTGATCAAAAGCTTGGACGTTGTTTCCCCCTAGGTGCCTTGGATATAAGCTCTGACAGTGGACTGAAAACAGTACCGTTTTTGGAGCACAACTCTGGACCACAGTTTTACTCTGTCCTCCAGATTTGCACGCAGCATGACTACATCAGAACTGCCTTCACAGCAGCTGGTTTATGGTCTCTATGTGAGGGAGTCGAATGGCATTGACTCCTGCAGGAACTGGGCTTCTGGCCTGAGGACCCCTTTAACTGTCTTCCTGACAGATGTGGGGCTCCCTTATGTGTTCCTTTTTTTCCCAGGAAGGGACCTATCTCCTCCTCTGCATAGCTGACTGCTCAGGTCACAGCCGCACATGCAGCAGCAGTGTGGGGGCTGCCCCCCCAGAACTGGCCGGGGAGGACTAACCTCAGTCCATCCTCCCACGTCAGAGGGTCCTGTCTGACTTGAATCACGAGGAACCTCCTACAGTCTGAGGGTTTATGAGGCTGTAAATATTTACAAGAGGAGACCGTCCATCTTTCTCAGAGCAGCTGGCGGATTTAAACCAGCTACTTGTCAACCTTCTGCTTAGCATCGCAACACATTACGCACGGCACCGCCACTGCCGGGGCTGCTTGCCATCTGTCTGTGGGAGGTGCCTTGTGAAGTGCAGTGTTTACAGAGTGGGGAGGGAAGGAGTCCTTCATTATATTACACAATGTCGTCTTCAGAACCACCTGCTCAAAACACCCTTGCGCATGAGAGACCCTGAGGATGACACAGGACAGGGCCAGGTTCCCGTCTGTTGGTCATAGAGTCGCTACGAGCTGTCATCAGCTTGAGGATACATGACAGCGACAACTCACAAAACTCAGAAACCATTTGCCAACAAGCTGGTTGTAAAAGGAAATCAGTTGTGGGTTCTGTTGACCTACATTTGTCCTAATAGAACTTAACGCTCCCTGGGGTTCTCAGTGGCTCGTTTTTCAACAGTAGAGTAGATCACCAGGCCTTTCTTCTGAGGTACCTATAAGTGGAATAGAAACAACAGATGTTTGGTTAACAGCCACACAGGTTAACCCAGGGACTCTGAACCACATGCAGGGCAGGGATGTTCTGTCAGATCTCAGGGTCAACTAGCCAGCTTTAGTTTGTGGTCATTCTAAAAGTGGTGGTTAAGACCCCTGGAGACTAGACGGTGAGTTATACTTTGGAGAGGAAGGGAAGGCAAAGGAGAGGAAACCCTCAAACAGGTGGATTGACAGTGACCGCAGCAGTGGGCTTGAGTGTGTCAGAGATTGTGAGGATGGCACAGGACAGGACAAGGTTCAGATCTGGTGCTCAGGGGTCACTGTGAGTCAGACCCCTAACAACGACATCACATCACTGTCCCTCAGGGAAAGGGCAGAGGAATCCAGGGAAGGCATCTCCTCAGCTGTGTTTGCTTCTGGCTCCATTTCACTTTCCCGATCTTTATTATTTCACTCTGAGGAAACAGGACAGAGACCTGAGAGCTGCAGGCCCTGGTGACATGAGAGCTGTATCACAGCATAGAGGAACCCTGGCAGCGTAGTGGTTAAACACTTGCTTGCTAACCAAATGGTCTGAAGTTGGAATCCACCAGCATCTTCATGGGAGAAAGAGGTGGCAGTCTGCGTGCCTGAAGATGACAGCCTTGGCACCCCCGTGGGGCTCTTCGGCTCTGTCCTGTAAGGTTCCTGTTAGTTGCACTCAGCTCACAGTATGTTGTTGTTGTTAGGTGCCTTTGAGTTGACTGCAGTTCATAGTGACCCAGTGATAACAGGTCTGAACCCTGACCTACCTGCTCCGTCCTTACCACCTCCACTTACGCTCAAGCCCACTGTTTAGTCACTGTGCCAGTCTGTCTTGTTGAGGGTCTTCCTCTCTTTCTCTGACCCCTTGCTTTTCCCATTATGATATCTTTTTCTTAGAACTGCCCCCTCACTTGCCCAAAGTATGTAATACAGATTCATCATCTTTGCCTCTAAGGAGAACCTTGATTGTACTTCGTCCGAGACAGACTTGTTCTTTTACAGTCCATGGGATAGTCAGTACTCTTCTTCATAACCACCCACAATTCAAAGGCTAAATTGTTGTTGTTATGTGCTTTCGAGTCGCTTGCGACTCATAGCGACCCTATGTACAACAGCCCTAAACTCTGCTCTGTCCTCTGCCAGTCGCACTGTCTCCTACACGCCCATCCCAATTACCCCAGTCACTGAATCAATCCACCTCATAGAGGACCTTCCCCTCCTGCGCTGTCCCTCCACCCTCCCAAGCATGATGTCCCTCTCCAAGGACCGGTC